GCTTAGTTAGCAGTTCTCTTCCCCTAGACCCCTTTCTCTAGGGCCCTGACCTTGGTTCCTCTTCTCAAGCCTCATACCATCTGTACCCATGGCTTCAGGTTCTGTGTCCACATTGACCACTTTCAAATCTCCACTCCCAACCTGTAACTCTCTCTTGACCTCTGGGCCCATACATTCAATGCCCACCAACATCTCTATGTGAGTGTTTCTCAGATACTTAAACTTCGTTGATTCCTAAGCTGAACTCATTCTCTCCTCCTAACCCTAAACTCTGAACCCTTCTATCCTTCTCCTGAGGAAGAGGCAGGACCAGTCACCTAGTTGTTCAAGTCAAAATCCTAGATATCATTCTCAACTCTTCCTTGTATTGCAAGCCCTATTACAACCAGCTCCAAAGTTCTGCAGAATTTTCTTCCTTAATATTTCTCCCATCTGCCCCTTCTGCACATGTCCACTACCACTATGTGGGTCCAGGCTGTCACCACACCTCACCTGGACCATACAAAAGCATCCTCACTGTTCTTGCTGCTTCCTGAGTGGCCCCTCCAGCCATCCTTTTTAAAAAATATACTTTTATTGATTTTTTTTAGAGAGAGAGGAAGGGAGAGAGAGATAGAAACATCAATGTGAGAGAGAAACATCAACTGGCTGCCTCCTGCACACCCCACACTGGGGATCGAGCCCACAATCTGGGTATGTGCCCTGACCAGGAATTGAACCAGGACATCTCAGTCCATGGGAGGACGCTCAGTCCACCGAGCCACACCAGCCAGCCATCCTTTATACTGCCGTCAGGGTGATCTCACTACGATTGAAAACTATTCCTGCCCTGGCCAGTTTGGCTCAGCGGTTGGAGCGTCAGCCTGTGGACCAGAGAGTCCCAGGTTTGGTTCCCGCTAGGGGCACGTACCAAAAAAAAAGGAGAAAACTGTTCCTTTAAGAGCTCCATGCAGCTTTTAGGGAGAAGTCCAAATTCCTGAACTTAGTACATATAGTAGAACTTGATAATCTCTACCCAGCCCACCTACCCAGTCCATCTGTCTCCCCCCATATGCAAATACTTTTCCACATTCTGTTTCCTTTGCCTGAGATACTCTTAACACTGTCTTAAAAAATTTTTTTTTAATTGCGGTAAAGAAATATAAGCTAACATTTATCATTCTGATCTGGTTTTCTTTGTCTAGCTCATTTCTACTTATCCTTTAAATTTGGCTCCATGCAACCTCTTCTGAAAACTTTTTCTGAGTACTCAGCCTGGGTTAGGTGCCCTTCTTCTGTTCTAGTATTTTAGCTCTTATCACATTATACTGTGTTAACTTATGTCCCTTTTTACAGACTCCTTAAGACGGTGTCTGTCGTGTTTAACTCTGCACCCCAGAGCTGCAGAGTACAGCTGTCCAGACTATGGACTGCACTGGGATGCCTGGCTGAGGAGGTAAAGCAGGCGATGAAGACCACTGGCCAATTGTGTACCCTGCTCCTGGACTGTATCCAGGCCTTTTTCTAATTGGCACAAAGGTTCCATGTGGGGTTTATATATCCCCAGAACTTGTTATAGAGTTGACACATAGTATTATAGTAGATGCTCATTAAATGGTTGAGTAAAGACAGATGGATGTTCTAGGCAAAGTATCAGGGGAAGACATGGTGAGGAAGTTGAAGTAAGAGTATGATATTGTATGATCAGGATTGGATTAGGGGGTTTAGAGACAGTTTGTAGAGAGTTCCTTATGTTGGGCTGAGGAGATAAACTGTTTTTTTTTTAGTCCTCACCCAAGGATATTTTCCATTGACTTCTAGATAGAATGAAAGGGAGGGAGGGAAGGAGAGAGAGAAACATCAATGTGGGAGAGACACATCGATTGGTTGCCTCCTGCATGACCCTGACCAGGGCTGGCAGGTACTTGCCCCTGACCAAGAATTGAACCCATGACCCCTCAGTCCACAGGCCGACACTCCAAACCCTGAGCCAAAACGGCCAGGGCAAGGGGCCTAACTCCTAATTCAGTAGGAACCTTTGGGAATTTTTGACATAATATTGTGACTTAGAATCACAAAATATTCAGGTTTCAAAATGAGCGTCAGACAAGTTAAGTAACTTGTTCAAGGTCACACAGGAAGTTAGTGACCGTACTGGGACTTGAACTGGCTTTTCTTTTCCTTTCTTTTTTAAAGATCTAACTCAGCTTTAGTAAGTGATTCATGAATCAGGCAGCATCCCATCTAGCAACTAGAGGGGTGCTCCTTGGAACTGGCTTTTTGCCCTCGCTTAGCGCCCATTCTTCCACACTACTCTCTGGAGAAGCCTCCCTGAATTGAGGCTGAGCCCTGGAAGTCTCCAGGCTAAATCTTTCTGGCCTTTCCAATACATGTCCCTGGCGATGGTGGGTAGGGGATGACAGCCTGGCTGAGTGGAGGTCAGAACAGAGAGGAGCCTGCTACAATCAACACTCAGCCTCTTCCATGGTGCACCCCTGGGTCTGCCTTCAGCATATCTAGTGACTTGAAGTTAGGTAAACTGCCCATTAGCTTTCTGTTCTTCACACAAGGCAAGGGCTCTAGTTTTGGGAGCCTTTTCTTGTAAGAGCCATTTCCCTTCTTGTACTTCTTTTGGTTGCTTTTCTTTGGGTGCTGGCTAGTTTTTTCAAATTCTTTCAAAATCACCATCTGTGTCTAGCTGAAAGGGCCTTGCTGACAGCAGGTCTTACTAAGTGCATGTTGTCAGTTGAATCTAATTTGGATACTGATCTAATCCAAGTGGTCTCCCAAAGGCCTGCCTCCTGGGAGGATTCTTGGTGCTGAGTCTCACCCCCGTGGGGCTATGTTCATCACTGACTGTTTCTTGTACTCATTTTATGATCTGTGACCCCAGAGTCTCCTTCTGGCTTATTCCTCCTGAGCCCGTTGCCTAACTTTCCTCGTTTGGTTTCTCTGTAGCTCACTTCTGGGTTCTGAATAACTGATTCTATCTTTTTCCATTTCAACTTTAGTCAGAGTTATTTCTCTATTTTTTATCAGAGATATTTGACCTCTTGCCCTTTATTTTGGTTATAGGAGCTCTGTCCTTTGGCGCATGGTACCAAAGATAACAATAACATTATCATCAAATAGTTAGCAAATGTGTACTCTGCTCCAGACATTATACTTTCTGCTTTTATAAAAAGTAGCTCACTTAATCCTCATAACAATCCCATGGGGTAGAGCTATTATTAGCCCCATTTTAAAGATGAGTATAACTGAGGCACTCCAAGATGGAGCAACTTGTCCAAAGTCACCCAGCTGAGATGTGTACACAGGCAGAAATTTTGGAGCTGGTGCTTACATTAGGACACTTACTGTTGCCTCAACAAATAATCTTCAGGTGGTTTCTGAGGTCATTGATAAGAGGGAGACTCACTCCCAGGGGCCTAGAACCACCACCACTGTCACTTTCAGGCTGGGTCTTCCCTAACCAGCTGCATCCTCCTACAGGATGAACCTGAGATTCTAAGGCTCAGAAGAGAACAAAGCTTGTCCACAGATCCACCAGCATGACGGGTAACACTCCTCCTTGACAGCTGTGGCTAAACCTTCCTCTATTAGGAGGCTCTTTACTTGATCTGGCACAATTAGCTCTTTACAAAGTCATCATAATTTCCAATATGCAGTGACAAACCAACTGACGGATGATTTTAGTCCATAGCTTTCCTAGGTATGAACTTAAGTGTAATTAACTATCACTAATTAACACAACACTTTTTCTCTTTTAATATATAAATCAGACGAACTCCACAATTATCCCCTGTCTGTCTTCATGAAGCCTGAAAGATACAGCTAGAGGCTCTGTAATAAGCCAGTCCTTAAGTGTTCCAAGTTAGGTCCCTCATTTGAAGATGCAGTGCTTTGCTTTACTGTGCTTCACAGATGCTGCATTTTTTTTTTTTTTTACAAATTGAAGATAAGATCCTCCATCAGCAAAATGATTATAACTCACTTTGTTGTGATATTCTTTTTATTTTGTTAAATATTTTTTTTCCCCTCACCCGAGGATATTTTTTTCCATTTTATCTTCGGAAAGAGTGGGAGGGTGGGAGAGAGAGAGACAGGGAGAGAGAAACATCGATGTGAGAGAGACACATGGACTGGTTGCCTCCCGCATGACCCTGATCAGGGCTGGGGACGAACTGCAACTGAGGCAAGTGCCCTTCCCTGGAATCGAACTCGCTACTCATTGGTCTGAGGGCTGATGCTCTAACTGCTGAGCCAAACCGGCCAGGGCTGTTGTGATACTTTTTTCGTTGCAGTGGTCTGGAAATGGCAATATCTCTGAGGTATGCCTGGACTCATCTTCTGCTTCCTGTCCTCATTTTCACGTTGGTTTCCTATCTGTACATTCCACAGGTAACCTTTTCTGACTTTTTGGTAAAGACTGAGTTAAAAAAAAAAAAATTAAAAGTCTGATTTTTCACAGTCACCTGTAACCAGCTCTGTCTCACCTCAGCAAAAGGGTGACATTCTCTTTAGATTTTCTCTTTTCCTTCTGTATTCAGCTCCCAATCACCTGCCTGGTGGCAGCTATTCTGAGGAGCAGAACCCAGCTGCTCATAGCAGGGAGGCTCTGTGGGCGGTCTGCCTCCTGGGCCACCTGCAGGACCCTGCCTGGCTCCCTGCTGGGCAGATGGACTGTGCTTTTGATTATTTATACCAACGCGTCTCTTTACTGGGGCGGAAGATTGAGAGGTGACCATATCACTGAGGAATATTTCCCCATTACCCTTTTCTTAGACACAACTGGGCTCAGCTCTTAGGAGCAGAACATCCTCCTGTCAGGCACATGTCACTTCAAGGTCCCATGTTCCTTCCAGTGTTTGGTTTCTCATGCCATCATTTGGATTTTCTCTCCCTTCCCTCCTTAGACATGATGCCCAGGAACAAAGGCAGAGGGTAAACACTGTTTCCTGTGGTGACAGAGACAAGCAGTGAGGACAGTCAGCTGCTGGCTGCCAGCTCCAGACACTTACCATGGTTTGTCCCTTGATCCTTTTGCAGAAAAGACTGTGTGCTGTTTGCTGCTGGAGGTAAGTAGATTGTCTTTGGGCGTTTTGAATGGCTTTGAGGTGCTGCTGGCAGAGTTATGGCCGCTGAAACAGGCTTTTGCTTTCACCTGTGCTAGTGATGTCCTGGGATTGGAAGGTGGAGATGCTGGAGAGGGGGGAGGTCTGCACATTGAACCGTGTCTTCTCTCTACAGAGGGAGAAAGAATAGAACTCAGCACGAAGTCTGTAGCAAGTGTCTCACACCTCGTGCCATACGCATAGACAACAGGCAGAGAGAAAGCGCTTATCTCCCAGTGTCTGCATCCCTGAAGCCTCAGTTCTAACTATGGTTTGTCTTTTTTTTTCCGGAGTGAGAAGTTGCCTATTCTATTTCTTTATTATAACTTTTAAAATTATGTTTCCACAAGTACCAGTGGAAACTCCAATCAGTAACTTAAAAAGAAAATATATCTATTTAAACATATTTTCTTTGCCTACTGACTACAGTTTCTCTTGACATCTGCTCCTCTCCACCAACTAGCAATGACGACATTCTGAATTTCTGTATCACATGGTATGCTCAACTAAACCAAAGTTTTCATGGGAGGCATTTACCAGGCTTTCCTTTTGTAAAAGAAATTCCGCAGGTCTAGCAGAGGAGACACCAGGTGTCACCTGCACACAGTGGGGTAATCATATAGCTAGAGTGATCCCCAGGCAGCTACTCAGAGGCTATAATGTCCCTCAGAGCAATGGCCAGGGCAGGACTCTCAATAAACAGGGAATTCTCAAATCTGACTAGGACCTATTATGGTTAATAGGACCAGCAAGTGCTGAATGAAAGGGTCCTCGAGAACCAGGAGTGGCCCAGCATCTGTCCCACATACAGCTGTGGCCTCTCCAGGGTTCACTGAGGTCTGGGGTCACAGCTGTTAAGCCAGGACATGCAGGAGGACATCAGTGCTTGAGGCAGGGTCCACAGGTGGGGCCTGGACTGGGGAGGGCAGGCACGGCTTCCTGAGGTGCAACAGAAACACCAGAGCTCTGGGCAGACCAGCCTCACCTGCTCACACTCAGTTAGCCCTGTGATCTCGATTCAACGGGTAGACGGGTAGATGAGAACGCTTGACCAGGACAGCAGGTGCATGAAGTAAAGTTCTAGTGTTCACCCACTGTGCACTTAACTGTTATTGGGTAACAGATTTGATAAAAGGACCCTCTCCCAAGAAAAATGCACATGCCCCAAAACTGTGTACACCATTACAGAAAGGAATCCTCGACACCCCCAAACACAAAGATTCTGAAACCCCAAGTCCTCTCTGGATCTCTTGGGCCTACTATAGGCCCCCCCACATAAATAAATGAAATAATAATGAATGTCCTGAAGGGAAGAACTAGAGATCACCAATCTGAAAATCTGGGTCAAACGTGACATGAACGAGGTGGGAGGCAAGGATGCAGACCACATTCTCCCTCCATCTCTAAGCTGAGTTAGGCTTTTCTCACCAATGAGACATTGCTGGCTGCAATTCCAGGCACCTGGCCAGGACAAGAAAGCCAGACTAACCTTGGCTACCTGCAATGGGACTCTGAAGTTTCTCTGTGCTCCCTTGTACCAATGCCTACCAGGCTGTCTCAAAGAAGACTAACTCTAGCCCTCTGATGCAGTAGCAATTGCGGGGAAAATTGGATTAATAAAGATCATCTGATTGCTGGGTATTTTTTTTAAATCCTCACCGAGGACATTTTTCTATTTCTCTTCAGATAGTGTGGCAGGGAAGGAGAGAGAAACATTGATGTGAGAGAGACATGTCAACTGGTTTCCTCCCGCATGACCCCGATGAGGACTAGGGATAAACTGCAATCAAGGTACGGACCCTTGACCAGAACTGAGCCCACCACTCATTGATCCACAAGCTGACACTCTAACCACTGAGCCAAACTGGCCAGGGCTGATTGCTGGGTATTTTTGCCTAACCAGTGTTTATATGTTGCCTACACTGAGGAACTTCACAGGTAACTTTTCTTCACTGAATCAGAGTAAATCGTGCATACATACTTGGTTTCCCGAGACATCCTTTTGACGGTTTGGAAAACCAAGAGCTAGTTCCAGGGCCTCTGTTTCGATGTAGTGGAAAGAACCCTGGGCTGGGAGCCAGGAGAGCTAGGCTCCAGCTCCAAACACACCACATGAGTAAGCTATGACTAGAGTTCACCACTTAAAGTTTCCAGTTTCCATGTTTTAATCTGTAAATGAAGTGAGTCCCTAGATAGCTTCGAAGGCCCCTTTCCACTCCATTATCATAAATACTTATAAGTCAAACTTACACCTGCTCCTTCTCTTCTCATCCTTCATCATTCCTGAATGTTACAGCAATAATTACAGCTGAAGTATTGAAATATTTTACTTAGGCAGGACTTCCTTGGAGGAATTCATCCTTCATGAAATTGCACTGGCCTTTACAACCCGTGAGACAGGCAGGAAGCAGCCAGGCATCTCCACCCTCCTCACGCCTGACTGGCCAGAGAAGACCCAGAGAGGCAAGGGGACACTCCAAGGTCAGGGCCAATGGCTACACGAGGAATGGGGCCTAGCCACTTCTCAGGAAGGCAGGAAATGGGGTGTACTGTGACCAAGATTTGAAACCAGAAATTAGGAAGTATAGGAATCAGAATCACTGGAGGTTAAAACGAAATCTTAAAAGTCAGTTCATTCCCCCTCCTTGATGATCGACGAAGTCATCTTCAGAGAGGTTCTGTTACCAGCCGAGAGAAGAACCAAGTCCTCTCTCACTTAAATCCACAGTTCTTTCTGCCCTTCAGAAATGTTTTGCTTAGCAATTTCTTTTTTGGCAGAGGTTTCCTAAACTAAAATAAGACTTTGCTTTTTACCACTAGTGTTTTGGATTTTTCTGCAGTCTTCACTCATTTGCTATCACTTGCTCAAGCTGGCTAGAAGGGGTAGGGAAAAGGATGTGCAGGAATATTCCTCAGTTCCGGTGGGGAGACATGAGAACAAAGAGAAATTTTATTTTGCTAGACTAAGAGTTAAAAATAATACAAATAAACAAAGATAAGTCACTAAGGACAAATAAATGGGGCAGACCAGCAATTCTATAATCAGTTTCGCAGACAATTATGGTTAGTGATCCTGCCAACAACCTGTTCTGCCACTGAACTCACAACAAATTAAATCAATAGAAAAACCTTTTTCTTGATTTTACAGTTTAGTCCCACAAATTACCAACTGAAAGAACAAGATGCATATGAGAGAATGTTCATCAAAACTTGAAGATAGCCTTTTACCCTCATTTTTGTGTGTGATTTTGTATTATAATAAACAGATTTAGAAATATTTCCTACTTATAAACTGTTCCATGTTATTCCGACTGAATTAAATCTACCACCATTTCAAGATACCCCACTGGGGCCTGTGGTCCAGAGAAACTTGGGTTCGGTTCCCACTAAGGGCACGTACCTCAGTTGCAGTTTGTTCCCGGCCCTGGTTGGTCGTGTGGGTGGCAACCACTTGATGTGTCCCTTTCACGTCAATGTTTCTCTCTCTCTCTCTCTTCCTCTCTCTCCCTCCCACTCTACCTGAACAAAAAATGGAAGAATGTCTTCGAGTGAGGATTAAAAAATAAAAAAATAAAAAGTGATTTAGGATCATTTCTTTGAGGTACAGTGAAAGGTTGCAGTAGTTTATAGCTCTTGCAACACATTTCTTTCCAGACCATGTGACAGAAAGATCAAACCAATCTACTGTGCTAATGTTGAATATGAGTACCACTTATCTACTGAAGTGAAACATAAAAACACTGTCAGAGCACCATGAAGAATTAAGTGTCTACTACATCAAACAAAACCTCAATGAGTGCTTCGGGATCAGCAAACTCTGGTCTCGCCCCTTCCTCCTTTGGTCAATAGTAATAACAATTTATTAAAGACTTTCCTATGTGCCAAGCATGCTACTGAACACTTGATTTACCTTATAGCACTTAATTCTTGCAATACCCTAAGAGAGGAACTACTATTATTTCTATTGTACGGACGAGGAAACTGAGGCTCAGAGGTACAAGTTGCCCAAGGTCATGGAGCTAGGACACATCAGATTTGGGCATGTCTTTAGAGCCTGTGGTCTTAACTCTGAGCTCCACCACCTTGAAATACCAGAAAGTGCAGCAGCGGATGGGAAATATCTGGAAGAGCTGCTGCCCCCCTCCTGTGAGTGGCATTTCAGCAGAGCACCTGACTTCCTTAGGCAGAGGAAAGAAACAAGGTATTTGGTCAGCTTCTAAGTGCCAGTCAGCAACCCCTTGCCACAGCCTGAGATCTTAACCCCAAAGAGTTGGGGACCCCGGACCAAAGAAATAAAACACCAAATCCTTTTACTTTTTTTACATTTCCACCACAGGAAGTCCAGGCCACAGCCTTGGCACCTGGCTGCCCTAAGACCATGCTTTACCAAAAGCACCTTAACCATCCATGTATGACCCCAGTGGACAGTCCCAGAGACCAATTGAGCAGGTGCTTGGAGACCCCAGATTCTCAGAATTCTAAAAATCTCTGTTAAGTGTCGGGAGCCCGGGTGTCACTACAATTCTCTCCCCTTACTCTCTGCAGGTAAAATCCACCAGGTTCTCAGACAATTTCATTTTAGTAAAAATTCAGAGTCTTCTCCTCCCCCTGTGTTTATTCACAGAGATATTTTCATACAGTATCAATGTCCTGCATTTAAAACCTCAGCACAGACCCTCATGAATGCCTGAGCCAGCCATCAGCATCCAATGTGGCACCCTGTACCAGTCTTAGAAAGAACTTGCTGGGAATTTTCCAATATGGTTTTTAAGGGGCCAATCCCCCCCCAACACTTTGAGCACCTCGGTCCCCTGTGGCCCGCCACGGTGTGTAAGCCCACTCAGGCTTGGCCGGGCACCCGGCTTCCTCATTTGACAGTGTAGAGTCTCCTTCAGCCTCCACCTCTGAGCGAAGGTACCTGGCAAATCATTAGCCAGGTTCTGTTTTATCAATGAATTCTATCTGCTTTAGTAGCTGTGGTCAGGATGCTTTTCATAAAGAACAACTCAGAATTTCAAGGACCTTCTTCCAAAAGGAACTGCAGCTGGCGGGTGTGGGGCTGAGCACAGACCTCAGCAAGGGGAACCCTGTAGGAACCACTTGGTGAGGCAGGTATTTCCCGTTTACAGC